TGCAGTTGTTTTTTCTTTTTTTAGTTATTTATTATATTTGTTATACTCAAAGACAAACACAGAAAATAGATCTGCTGCCTTCATACATCACCGCAGCAGCAGCAGCAGCAGCAGCAGCAGCAGCAGCACGGGGGGGTTGAGCGAGCAGCAGGGTGACTACAGAATTAGGGTTTAGGGTTTAGGGTTTAGGGTTTGAGGTTTATAACGAGGGTTTATTTCAAACATTTCAGGAACAGCAACTACTCAGGGTGTGGGGTTTAGGGTTTAGGGTTTAGGGTTTAGGGTTTAGGGTTTAGGGTTTAGGGTTTTTAGGGGGTGTTGTGTGGTGGAGAGAAATATATTTGTTTGCTGCTGCTGCATAGAGTATAAATACAGAGAAAAAGAGACAGAAGTGAAATAACAAAGACAAAGACAAAGACAAACACAACTGTCTCCTTTTCAGGTGTATGCGCAGACACCGCAAGGAGACAGGGGACCCTCTGGGGTGTCTCCGCAGCTTTTATTAAAATTTTTTACTCGCGAGCTGCTGCTGCAGCTAACAAGACAAACAACAAATAAATAAATAAATAAATAAACAAGCAGACAAACAAAATAAACAAATAAAAAATAAAAAAAAAAAAAAACAGAAAGACACACGAAGACGCGAAAACTATAGAAACGGAGACAGCAGCAAACGAGCGCCATTGGGGTGTATCTGCAGCAGCAGCAGCAACAGCAGTAACACAGCAGCAGCAACAGAAAGAGCAGCAGCAGCAGCAACACCAGCAGCAACAGCAGCAGCTGCTGCTGCTGCTGCGTTTTGGATGCACTACACCCAGCACTAGCTACGGAGAAGAGGAAGGAGCAGCAGCAGCAGCAGCAGCTGCAGCAGCAACAGCAGCAGCAGCAGCTGCAGCAGCAACAGCAGCAGCAGCAGCTGCAGCAGCAACAGCAGCAGCAGCAGCTGCAGCAGCAACAGCAGCAGCAGCTGCTGCAGCAGCTGCTGCTGCAGCAGCAGCAGCAGGGAGTAAGTTTAAACACAACAGACACAGCTGCAGCAGCAAAAGAAAATAAAGTAA